TCCCCCCCCACCCCAGCGGTGCCACTGACTGAAGTGTCTTTGGGCCATTCTTATGCACAGTAGAATTGTAAATAGGCTGATTCAACAATGTCATGCTCATAATTGTGCCTAAACTACAACTGGGAACTGCTGTTTTTTCTTTCCTAATCCTTACTATCGTCTTTTTCCTCTACCTCTTTTATATGTTTGTCACACTCTTGTGACCCGCTATTTCCGGGGTGCCTTGATAGTTGCAGCAGACTTTGTGCTGTTGACGGTAGAGAGGTGAGCAGAGTAAACCTGATTTCCAGTAAAGACCTCTCTGTTGACATCCACCCCTTGGCGCTCATATGACCTTATGCAGTTGCGAGCGCCGTAAAGCCTCTTCTCTAAAACTAAAACTTACTCAAAACATAAGGTTGACTTGGATACGGTAACACTTTCACTTTCAGGAAAAAAAGAGTTTTCTCAAGACTGGAAAAACTGACCTAGGTCGTTATGGTTATAACCACAAATTTTTGTTCTTTGTTTTTATTAACTCAACCCCATATACAGCGTTGGTGATTTTTTAAATATTTTAAAAATGAAAATTTAAAAAATCGATTTTAAAAATTTAAATCAGATTTTTTTATTTTTTAAAAATATCGACATGTTTAGGGATTTTTAGTGGCTAAAAGTATGTTCTTTTAGTGCCAAATGTATTGTCTTTATTTAACTAGATCTAATGATTAATTTAAGCAACTGCAGTAGAAAGCCTTAATCTGCTATATCGGTGGCTACAGACAAAAAATTAAGAAAATGTCAGTCTAAAAGGAAGGGGGAAGGGGGGGGGGGGATAATTATGCACAGATAAACTTGCATTTTATTACAGTGTGTGTGTGTGTGTGTGTGTGTGTGTGTGCACGCTTGTGTTTGTCTGCAAAGAAAAAGAAAATGCTAATTTCAATTATGAAAATAAAGTAAATTGAATACAGTATTGTTTTTTTTTCGAAACCTTCAGCCCCAAACAACTCAATGCGTAATTTCAACATGATCTAAATTGTTGATTATTGTAATACTCTTAATATTGTATGAAAGTGATTTACTTTCAAAATTCCTTCAGTTGCCATTTTGTTCCTTGCAATAATATCTCAGTTATTATTTTTGTTACATTGTTTGTGATTTATTTGTTAATGTTTTTATTCTCCTCAGTCACAATTGATTTGATCTGACATTCAATAAATTATTAAGTTTACAGTTAATAAATCTAGAAATTTCCAAAGTGATTTAAATCACTGATTTTTATTTTAAAAATCAAGTTGATTTAAATTTTAAAAATCAACTGATTTAAATTGACCTGATATAAATCAACCCCAACTCTGATTTCAATTATGAAAAAAAAGTAAATTGAGTAGGCTACTGTATTATTTTACAGTGACAGGGGGGAAAGCAGACTTTTAAGCATGATTATATTAGTCTACTAAACCTTATATCTGTTTTATAAAACCAAGGGAAGGAATTCTGAATGTTTTGATATGTAAAAACTGAATAAAAATAAATTTTAATAAAAATGATTTAAATGACAGAATTTTATTTTAAAAAATCAAGTTGATTTAAATTTAAAAAATCAACTGATTTACATCAACTTGATTTAAATCAACCCAGCTCTGCCCTTATAAGGCCCAGGGTTAGTCTGAGCATGCTAATTCTGAACATTTTGTTGCAACTACTGAAACAAAAGCGACAGATGATAGAATAGGGCAGGGTAAAAAAAAAAGGCCTTGTTCTATTTCTTCTATCTTTGTCCTCGCCGTCTGACCCAACTACTGAATCCTCACCAGTAGCCGATTCTTCGTTCATTGGTGGGTTCTCGTGGTCTGTGGTCTAGAGGTACAGTGTTCGCCTCTCTTTCAATAGGTCTGGGGTTGAAAACCTGACTACGACGGAAAATGTTAGTTTCTACAATTCTCTCCTTTCACCTCCTTTCCTGCTCTCTAAATATATGGCTACCGTTGAATTACGAAGTTCTATCTGACATTTTTGGCCGGTTTGAGTTAATAAGACCATGCCATGAGGTCAGAAACCAATTGCTCTATGTGCTCTATCAAAATCTTGAGATTATTCGGAGTGATTATCAAGATATTCCAAGAATTGCACTCGAAAAAGCTTGTCATATTGTGAAACAAAAAATTTTTCCCACTTAAAAGTTCTCAAAACTAGGCACTGAGCAGATACAACTTTGCCCTTCTTCTAGGGTAGCGATATGTCTGATGATTGTTTCTGTTCTGAGCTCAGGCGGCGCTGGTGTTGCTGTGGTGACTGTCTTTGCGGCTGCCGCTGGGGACACATGGGAATTGAGTTTGATGAGGCCTGAATATGATTGGGCGTTTTATGTGTACGCCGTAGGTTCGGGCATCACCATCCTGGCATCCTTCGTCCTGTGCTTTGCTTCCCCTGACAACCAGTTGACATCGATGGTAAGTAAAAGCGGGTGGTTAGCGGGTGCTCTGGTGTGGTTTGCTCCTTCTTTCCTATCAAACATCTTTTGTTCGGATCTCTCCCTCTTTTTGGTGGCTCTCGTGGCCGAGAGGTTAAGGTGTTGGCCTCTCATTCAAAGGTCCTGGGTTCGAATCTGGGTAGCGACCGAAAATTTTCTTCTCTAAAATTGTCTCCTTTCACCTCCTTTCCTGCTCTCTAGCAATGTTCTGTTGTCTGCTTTCATTTCCACTTTCTGCCCCCACCCCCTCACCTCCTTTGCCCCCTCCTGTGGGCTTCTGACTCTTTCTGCAGCCTTTCTACTGATACTCCTTGGCTCCTCCTTAATGCTGCCTTTCTGCCACACCCCTGATCTTCTGGTAGGAAAGATCTACACCTAGCCTTCTCAGACAAGGGCGAAAAATCTCGGAGTGCCAGTGTGCAAGTTGTGCACGTTAAAGATCCCCTGATAGTCTAAAATCGATAAGAGTAGGCTTCGGCCGCCACCCGGGCAAAATTCAAAATTTCCTACCAACTGAAAATATTAGGTGTGTCCCGCGCGTTCATATGACCTGATGCAGTTGCGAGCGCCGTAAAACACTTTACAAAAACAAATCCCTCTTTTTTTGTGTTTGGTTTCTTTAATCTTCAGCACTTATATGACCTTCTTGTGTTGCAAGTGCTGTAAAACTCTTGCCAAAACTAAGGTTAGTAAAAATTAGATTGCGGCCCATTTAACACTATACACCCGAGTTTATGCCTCAAGAAAAGGTTTTATCGTAGCTTGAACTGACAAGCTGAAAGCATTGTTCATGTTATGGGTGCTTTTTTTGACGTTGACTCTTCCTTTTTCTTTGTCATTTAGATAACATGCATCTAGCACTATGGTTAGGCACTTCAATGTCACAATCAAAAGGTGCGAGTTTGATTTGCGTGTGGGAAGAGTTTTTACCAAGTTATTACCTCAGAATTGCAAAGTTCTATCTGACAATTTTAGCTGTTTTGAGTTACTGAGACCATGAGGTCAGACACCAAATGTTCTACCTGCTCTATCAAAATTATAAGATCAATTGGAGTCATTAACAAGATGTTCAAAGAACTGCATTTGAAAAAGCTTGACATGATGTGAAACTTTAACATTTTGGCGTCACATTTCTCAAAACTAGGTACTGAGCAGATAGAACTTTGTCATTCTGAGGTAGCGAAGTATCTCTGTCTTTCTGCTGGGAGAAGGTATCCCCCTCAGCCTAAGCTGGCCTTGATAGGCATGGTCGAAGCAACCTGACCAGCACCTGTGGTGCAAGGATTAGGTTCTTTGCTGTGGCATGTGGGAGACCCGAATTCGATTCCCCAGTTGGGAGAACAATTTTATCGAGTATCTGGGTCTTTCTGACGGAATGTTGTGTCCTTCTCAGCCTGAGTTGGACCTGATGGGTAGGGTTGGAAGCCCGCCTCGTAAACTATCTAAATTGGGCGGATGGGGATGTAAAACACCTGCATTTAATTTGAATACATTTTTTAAATTCAGATCATGAGAACAACACAGAATCCGTACGAGCGTATGAATGACGGCAGCGTAGTCGTCTCACAGACAAACAACAGTCACATGATGTCGCCGGTCGCCTACGCCGGAACTGGTTATTGAAGGTGGTCACTGCTGGTGGTGCTGTGCTTTTCTCCGCCGTTGTGGTTGTAACATTTGTGTCACGACGCGGTGGAATCAGGCGCTCGTCAATTTTTGGGCATGGGGAGCTATTGGTGTCGTCTTAAAGCTTTTTCATTTGTCTTGCTTTTGATGAAAAATTCCCATCTATTTTGAGTAAAAGTCGGAAAGTGAAAATTTACATATTTTGGTGCCTTTTTCAGTAAAATCCACACAGAAATGTGTTATCAAATGGACATAAAAGATGTTGAGCCAAAAAACAAAAAATTCAATAAAAATTGCCAAATTGAGGGAAAAATTCAGTTTCATCATTTTGACGAGTGCCTGATTTCAACACGCTGCCTCACATGTTAAAGGCGGGAAATTGTTGGTGGCGTGGTCTATTCGTCATCGTGCTGCCATTATACTATCCCCGCAGTTTTATGCACCTCACATAATTTAGCAAAATTTGGTGATTTTTTTTGCATAATTTCGGATTATTTTCCTTTATCATTCTTTGTTGAAATAAACAGAATCGCATAATTTCACATTTTTGGGCTCAGTTTGCATAATTTCAGAATTTTTCTTGCATAAAACGACGGGGACAGATTAAAGCCTGGCTCTATTTTTTTTTCCCTTTTGAAACAATTGAGAAAACCCGATATGCTGTTGTATAATACACTTTTTAACTCTTTCACTACCAATGGGGTTTTCCTCACCTGAATCAGGCCTTATCTATGACCCACTTGCTGATTCTGCCCTACCCTCAGACAAATTAAAGGTTTTGAGGTCAATCAATTTTCAGTATTAGCCACATTTATTATATTATGAAAATAAAGGTGGAAATAATGACCTATCTCAACATGTTGCTAAAAATGATCTTTCTTCAGCCTGATTTTTCAGTTTTGATTATTACAAAAGTAGTACTGTTTTTAAAGCAGAAAGTGGAAAGCCGTGAAACACGGAGAGTGGTAGTGACAGAGTTAATATAAAGCGGAAATGTCTAAATTTAGGATAAGGGCCCACCACTTTAGAAAAATTTAAGTACTAAATGAGGCACTGTCAAGATGAGAATTACAAAATGGTTACTATACTCCATTATGGCCAAAGTCAGACTCAGGCCTTAATGGGAGCACCTTGATGATAATATGTATGTATGTATGTATGTATGTATGTATGTATGTATGTATGTATGTATGTATGGCAGCATCAAGAAATGAGTTCCTTATTGCTTCCCCTTTTCTACAAGACAGAATTTATTATATCAATCTCACCTTCAGGGTTTTAGTGAAGTCACTTCTAAAGGAGAAACAGCTTTAACGTCATGATGCTGAAAAGCAACACATCGTTTAGAAGAATGGAAGTAGACTTTTTCGTTGACTTGTTTGGATGCCTCACCTGCGTACGGCACCATTCATGAATTCATATACCCATAACCTAAACTGCAGTTCAACAACAAAAGTACAATAATAAGTTCCTACTGAGGGGGAGATTATCCTTTCTTTAATGGCTCTGAAGATGCTCGAGAAATTGCTGGGAAGTAGATAGGTTTTTCTTTTTAAAAATACGCACCGCAGCTGTGCCATGCATGTTTTGGTACGGTATACATTTAATGATTTTGTATGATATGAGACTGTTAAGTCTTTCCAGATCTGCATAGACTGGCGCAAAAAGATTTTAAATTAAGAATACAAGTTCTGATCTTGATCTTATTTTATGACTGATGTCCCATTTTGAAAAAAAACAAAACTGGAAGGAACTCGTTTCATGGCGTTGCTACACACCCCTCACATTTGGACTTTCCTCAGAGTCCCGACAATTAAAGGCCTGAAATGTGCCTTTAAAGATAATCCTGAAATATATTTACTGGAATGATTGTAGTAGTATAGGGGTGGGCAAACTATGGCCCTATGAACAAATGCGGCCCTTCATTGAGTTTTGTGTGGTAAGCGCAGACATTTGGTGAATTTTATTAATAAATAAAGAAAGTAATTGTCTTGAAAGTGGTCACAGCTCTCAAAATACTAGAATGGCAAGATGTGCATTTACAGTGTAAATTAAAGAAAAATATTTAGTTTTGTTTAAAGCTTTGAAAATTCAATCATTTTATTATAATGTTGCTGGTTACATTTTGTATTTTCGTGATAAAGGAAATAAGTTACCCTGCACAATTTGTCCTATTTTAAAAGGTGTGGCCCTTTGCTGCTTTCGGACCAGTGAAAGTGAGGCCAATCCCCAGAGTTTGCCCACCCCTGTTATAATAAACTGTCAAAAGAACTCGGAACCACAGGGGAAAGCTTCTCATTTTTGTGTAGAAGTTGAGGTTCACATTTTTATGTATCCGCTAAGGTTTTTGTTAATTAAGCATTGTTGATGCCTATGATGAAGCAGTTCAAAACAGAAAGTTGTCAGGGAGCATTTTAACTTACAGCGATGTTTGACGTAGTTCTTGCATTTTATCATTTTAAGATGAACCGCCACTTGTATTTATAAGACCATCTCCGGTACAAACGACTGCTTTCCATTGCCTCGCTCACATATTTCTTTTTACAGTATAATGACACCTGTCTTTAAACAGTTTCGCTACATATTTCTTTCAAGTGCAACAGTACAATGAATAAGTGGCAAAGCCTTTTGAAAAACATATTGTGCTAATATAAGATCTGCTGCGTTAGAATAACTGTTCTGCAGAAATCTCTATTGGAAATTTTATCACAGAGTGGTTGCGAGGCAATGTGTATCTGAAAAACAATCTCACCTTCAGGGTTTTAGTGAAGTCACTTCTAAAGGAGAAACAGCTTTAACGTCATGATGCTGAAAAGCAACTCATCATGTAGAAGAATGGAAGTAGACTTTTTAGTTGACTTGTTTGGATGCCTCACCTGTGCGTACGGCACCATTCATGAATTTTAAATAATTTTGTTTGATTTTTTGCATTATGAAAGCACCTTCTTGCCCTTCAAAACACACAGTCGGGTGATTTTGACCAGTTCTCTACTTTTCATCTGTTCTTTCTATCTATCTGTCTGTCTGTCTGTCTGTCTTACTTTTTGCCCAGTACTAAATGACCATTATTGGTATTGATGTGCTTCTCTTCCCTCCACAACAACAACAACAACAACAACAACAACAACAACAACAACAACTACAACAACAACAACAACAACAACAATAACAACAACATGAGGACTAGAATGTCACATTATAAGACTGCCCTTGAAAGTTTCTCCACCTCTACAGACTTTACAATAACACATGGTGTTTATGTAGTAGAGAGCTCATGTCCAGCATTTACAGTAGTGGGCTTTACAAGATATATTAACAGCTTTAAAATACATTGTATTTATATATAGCACATTTCAAGAATTTACAATACTCCATGCCTTTTACAAGAGATTTTGTAGTATTAAAACATACGGTATTCGTATGGTGCAGTTCCACAATTTACAATGCCTGATGTGCTTTACAATTACAAGACATATTAGTAGTCATTAAAATACAATCAGCTTTCAAGCACAAGACATTTCAGGCCTGCCGACCATCCCGATTTTGTCGGGCATGTTCCGAAATCAGATGCGCTGCTCCCGACTTTCCGATAACAGTCTTGGTTTCCTGATTTTCGAGCCAAGCTATATAATATAACAGAACAATTTTTAACTCGAAAATGACAAATGACATTGACGATACTGGAACTTGTGTGTTACTAAAATATCCAGATTAGCTGTGCGTCCTTTATTGTTTGACGGTTCAGCTACATATTAATAATTATAATGCTCAAGTAAATCGGGCAATTGAATATGAATAAGTTGAGTGTGACAGTAATATGACCTAGCACGCAGCGCGCCGCACTGATTTTCTCTATTTTGCATTTTCAAAAGTTGGCAGGCCTGACATTGGTTTTTGTCTTCTCTAGTCGTCTTCAATGTGCTTCTCACTGTTTATGCATGTTTTCTCAGTCCATAATTATTGTTTTGTTTTTTTTATTGAATGATGCTGTTGCCATGTTTTTTCTTCACTTTTTTATGTGTTGTTGCGCTTCTCTTACTTAAAGCTCTATTCAAACGTCCATTGTGAAAAACACCAGTGAAAAGTTGACAAAAGTTGACATGGGGGGGGGGGGGGAGGGGGGGTGTGTCCTAACAAAACTGACGTTGAAGGTGATGCTCTAAAAGGTGGAAAAAAAGAAAAGAAAAGATATAATAGACCACGTTTTTTGGCCTAAATTAACACAGTTTAATTGGACCATATTATTGTTTTAGCCTAAACACTTACATTTTCAGTGATCTCCCCAAATAATTTGACAGTTTGGGTATTTCTTTGTTGTATTCTTTAATAAACTATGGTTCTTATTTTTTAAAGATCAAAGGTGTCAATATTAAATACATCCTGTACCGGTTTTATCTAAATGTACGTACATAGATCTATAATACTACATGTACATTTTGGTTAACATCAGCTAGGGTGGGATCCTGGGAAAGATGGCAGAAGATGACGAGGGGGGGTTCATCATTTTTGGCCACATTTTAGCTTGATTTCTGAACTGTCCCTAACTCAGATCGGTAGGACACAGAAGACTCGAAAGCAGGCCTCTATTGAACAGTGCCTGCGGTCCTGAATTTTCCTTCTTTATTTTTGTAAGATATCCCTCAAACTATCGAGGCCAGTCCCGACGAATTGGAGCTTAATCGTGGCAACAGGGGCTTTAAACTCGTACACTTACTTTATATTATCCATCTTAAGTTAAGGAAAGTCTGTCGATAATTACTATATATGTTAAGGAAAGTCTGTAGATAATTACTATATGTTAAGGAAAGTCTGTCGATAATTACTATATGTTAAGGAAAGTCTGTCGATAATTACTATATGTTAAGGAAAGTCTGTCGATAATTACTTAATGTTACATTATAGCTTGGTTTTAAGCTTACCCGAGTATTATGATATTATATTGATTTATTTTTCTACTGTTTTGTGGTTAACTTTACATTTCTTTATTTTTGGTTCTTTTTTTAAAAGTGCACATCTTATTCTACTCTTTTCTGTGTTAAAAAAAAGGTCGCATTTTAGACCTTGCTTTGAAATATTACTCTTGTGTAAAAATTTGGGTTCTGATAATATATATATATATCTCTTAAAAGTACCCAGGAGATAATTGTTACTGTGTGGCACCGAGGTGAAATCAGGCTCTGGTCAATTTTGTGCTGTTGAGGCCAGAGAGGTGAGCAGAGTTAAGTAAGCCTGATTCCCTGTTTGGACTGACTTCTCTGCCTGTTGACATCCAGCCCTTGGCG